ATCACATCACTAAAAATACCTTAGAATCAAATTTTTCGAACTTAGTTAAGTGGTTTGGAGATAATCAAATGCAAGCAAATCCCGATAAATTTCTAGCTTTATGTCTCGAAAAGAAAACTAAACAGGAAATCATCTGTTTTGAAATTGATGATAATATGATATATCCGGAAAATGAAGTAAAATTACTTGGTGTTACTTTAGATTTTGAGCTTAAGTTTAGCTCTTATATTTCAAACATTTGTAAAAAAAAAAAAAAAAAAAAAAAAAAAAAAAAAAATCCACAACAATTAAAAGTACTTTAAAGAATAGGGGTACACCTGACCAAATTAGGAGAAATAACGATTTATCATGTCTAACTTAAACTATTCACCATTACTTTGGCATTTTTGTGGTGAACGAGAGACAAGAAAAATGGAAAAAATACAGGAAATTGTACTGCGGTTTGTTTATGATGACTACAAAAATTCATATAGTTATCTTCTGGACAAATCAAAATTGCTATGCCTGAAACTCAGGCTAATTAGAACAATGGCCATAGAATGTTTTAAGATTTTAAACAAGCAAATCCCCTCTTACCTGCATGATTTTATTCATATTAAAGAAACACCTTATTCTTTTAGATACACGAAAACGAAAACGTTTTACCCAAAACACGATCAACAACATATGGGTTGAAGTCTTTAAGATATGAGTATGCAAAACTTTGGAATTCTTTACGATAATCTTTTAGAAATATTATTACTTTTAACAAGTTTAAATCCAACATAAATAGCTGGTACGGAAATTGTTGTAATTGCTGTGCCTGTCGCTAATTTTATTTTTAGAAACTAGTAAAAAGGGTTTAAGTTATTTTCGGTTGTCAGTTTTAATGTGGTGAATACGATGTCATTGTAAAGCACCACGGAGGAATAGTGATATTTTAGTAGTGTGATGTAATTTTTCAAAACTGTTTCTTGTTTATTATGTATGATTGTTGTATTTTATGTAACATAATTATGTAGTCAGAAAATAGCTCTTCAGAGCTAATGTTTTTTGTTGATATACCCGACTTTAAATAAATATTATCTTATCTTATCTAATGACGTTGTAAGCGAATACGATCTATCATCTCATTAAATTAAATGCTGACTGAGGTTTTTTTGTGCTACTTGTTAGGCCATTATTTACACCATGAATTGTCTTTTGATTTTTCCTTATTTATAAATCATGAAAAGAGCACACTACGGGAGGTGACCGATCAACAGGGGATGTTTACCCCTCCATGGCTCCTGATCCAAACTCTGAACTATGTTTTATAGGTCTGTGTTTGTTTTGTTCCTGATTTGTATTGTTTGAAGGACTTTTGAGCTTAAATACTGTTCGTAATTTAGTACCTATATTTTATAGGTACCTTAAATGCTTTTTGTGACAAAGTCCAAAATAACAGAAATACAATATGCAGGTAAGAAAAAATGCTTTTTGTGACAAAGTCCAAAATAACAGAAATACAATATGCAGGTAAGAAAAAAATACATTTTAAATTATAAGCATCTATTCTGACTAAACATAACATTTACAAGACATTATATGTATAAAACATTTTAAAAAATATTTTTGAAATGAACTTTGCTAAGTTGGAACACAGATTAAAATCTGTACAAAAATTCAGAAAATAATGAAATAACAGTTTTAAAAAATGCGAATAGAACAACAAGCCTTATTGTACATTGTAATGTTTTAAAAAACGAGCATAGTGGATTTTACAAACAATAACAAAACAAGCTAACAAGTAAAATGAACACATTTGGTGTTGATTTAATGTTACAACATTGACTTTTAAAACATGTAAACACGGTGTAAATAAAGATTTTGACAGTCCATAAGAGAGGAAAAACTTTTTTTAAAAAAAGAACAAGTTGTGGCTAAAGGTATTTCCATTCTCCTATGAAGTCATAGGTTTTTGCAAAAACTGTTATTAATTTAAATTGATAGCAAGTAGAACAATAATTTTTATTGTTATAATTTTCTTTTTTAATCAATTATTCAAATGTTGACAAGGGCAATAACTCCTTCTCGGGTATCTTCATTCAGACATTTTTTTTATTGTACTTCTTATGTAAATTAGTTTTCCTTGATATTCACATTTCAAAATTATCTCAGAAATAGCATGTATATCGGAACTTTCAGCATCAAAATTATGCTTTTGAACCAATTTTTACATTTTTTTTATCATAAAGTTTACAAATAATGAACATTTTTTATGTTGACGCACACTTCTGTTTATCTGTCTCTCCATCTGTCTTATCTGTCTGTTGACAATAAATAGCAAATTTAAACTATTTAAATAAAAAGAAATGCAGTTTTTTTTTATTCTTTGAATCAATAAAATTGTGGGGTGAAAAAAAATAACAAACGCATAGCAACATTTCATCAATAATCTGAAGAAGAGGCCCAGGGGCCACATTGCTTACCTGCGTACTGTGGTCAGGTAAAAAAGCAAAAATCAGCTTAAAGCTTAAATGCATGAGTAGTCCAAACCTACTCCTGAAATGCAGAAAAGGTAAAGGTAAAGGAAAGTGGGTACGATTTGAACAAACTTTCATCTACGTATACATTATCATAGGATGCTTCCGAATAAATATGACAAACCATGGTTTTGCGGCTCTTGAGAAGATTTTTCCTATATATTCCTATGTTAAACTTTGATCGTCCATTGTGGCTCCACTCTACTCAGGGTGTCAAGATTTTGAACAAACTTGAATCTTCACTACCTGTGGATGCTTTCACATAAATATGAACAATCATGGATTTGGTGTTCTTGAGAAGAAAATCTTGAGAAGAAGATTTAAGAAGATTTTACCTTGATGCACCCATGCTAAACTTTCATCGTGCATTTTGGCTCCACCCTACCCCTAGGGGTCATAATTTAATCACATTCTTTATAACCTGAGCATACTTCAATTTAAATGTGATCAAACATAGCTTTGATGTTCTCGAAAAGTATATTTTTACAGAGTTTTCCTATACAAGATACAAGATTTTATTAATCCAATTTGGGCCCCCGGAGGAGCAAAAAGATTTACAAACAGAAGAAGGAGGAGGATCCAAATGATAGAACAAGCATAATCATGCTGTTAAACTTTGATCGTACATTAATTGTGGCCACATCCCATTCTTAAGGGTCATGTTTTGAACAAATTTGAATCTACACCACCTAAAAATGCTTCCAAATAAATATGATAAACCATGGTTTTGATGTTCTTGAGAAGAAGAATTTTTAAAATGTTTCCTATATTACTATAAAAAAAAACTTTGATCGTCCTTTGTGGCCACCCGCTATACCCGGGGGTCATGTTGTACAAACTTGAATCTACACTACCTGCAAATGCTTCCACATAAATATGAAAAATAATGGCTTCTCTGTTCTTGAGAAGATTTTTTTTTTAATTTTACATGTACCTTTATATTCCTATGTTAAATTTTGATTGTCCATTGTGGCCCCACCCTACAACCGGGGGTCATATGTGGAACCAACTTGAATATATACCACCTGAGGATACTTCCAAATTATATCAACACTTATGGCTTTTCTGTTCTTGAGAAGATTTTCCTTATACATTCCTATGCAAAACTTCGGTCAGCCATTCTGGCCCTACCCAACCCCAGGGGTCATAATTTGCAGAAATGTACATCTGCACTACCAGAGGATGCTTCCACATGAGTTTAATCTTTCCTGGACCAGCGGTTTTTGAGAAGAAGATTTTAAAAAGATGCTTTTAATTTTTCGCTTATTCGTTATTATCTTCTTTTGAAAGATGGTGTGGCCCTTGGTTTGAACAAACTTTAAGCCTCTTCACCCAAGGATATGTGGCAAGGTTGGTTGAAATTGGTGGAGTGGTTCTTGAGAAAAAGATGCAAATGTGAAAAGTGTACGACGACAACGACAACTACGACTTCAACAACGACAACAATAACAACAGAAAACGGACAAATTTTGATCATGAAACCTAACTTGAGCCTTCGGCTCAGATGAGTGAAATTAGGGTAATACAATATTTAAAAATGATAAATGAATGAGAAAAAAAAAATATGTAACTGGGCAATTCAAGAAAAAAATAGAAATCAAGGTCCAGTAACTCGATTGAGAAATTGGAACAAATAGATACAGGATCAACAAGGACTCAATGAACACAGTGTCAAAAATATCTTATTATAAATTTCACCTTTTTAAACCTAAACGAAATATTATCAAGATGCTAATTTTTATTCTAGATAAAGTTCCAAAGTGATAAATGAAAAAACATGTCCTGGTTTGTCTTCTGTTAAGTCTTTTTCGTTTCTACTTTTTCTCTTTTGGACAATTCTTATTAAATGAAACTATGGACAATTAAAAAAAATATGTATATAATCATAGAAACATTATAATTTGTAACAAAAATAGTTTTTAAGGATCACACTTATATCATTAAACTACATCAATCCCATACCCATTTCATTTTCTATGTCCTAATTCCTGTCTTGTCTCCTATTTCGGTCTCTTCCTGTCATATAAAAAGCGTTTTAATAGAAAAAAATGCAAAATTAATAATTCAGAACAAAGCCCTTTTTTGTCTTCCAAAGGATATAAGTAAACTGAAGGTGGGAATGATTTATAAAATGCTAATGAATAACGCCTTAAAATGAAAGAATTATAGAGTTTTGAAATGTATTTTTTTTCTTATTTTTTTTTAAACCAATAATACATCTTATGGACGTATCCACGTATTAATTTTTTTTATTAAATTTCTTCTTAATCATCAATATAAATAATTATGTTACATACTTGCACAAAGATAACGGCTCTAATTTTCTTTTCCTACACAATAAAGTGTTAGCCAAGATACGACAACAGGAACTATTATATTTATGATAATAGTACGGATCCTGAAATTAAAGTAAAAATTATCCTTAATTTCATTTTAACAAAAGCTGTCTTAAAAACTTGAAGAAAATACTTTTTCTTGCACGTTTTGACATTTTTTTTACAATCTTTTAGAATGGATTTTGATTAATTTGTACTTATTAGCTGTCTTTAATTTGGACGTTTCCTGCAGATTTTGTGATGAAATAAATGTGCGAAGGGTAGTAACTCTTCCATTTGTGATGTTAGAGAAACAGCCAAAATCTAAACAAATGGAAAAAAGCAACAATCTTGTATATTAATAATATGTAAATTCTTTTTGTTAGTCTTTATTGTTAATCAAAGGCCATGTATTTTATATGCCTTTTTATGAATAACAATGCATGCATTTTATTATTACCACATAAAAGACCCTTAAAATACATTTAAGGTGGATAAAAATTTGAAATTATGTAAATTAGTCCTTATATATTTGCATTACAAGTCAATGAAAGAATAGGAAAGGACTAGTTACACATCAAGTCAACAATATATAAAGTAATATGTAATCACTAGCTACTATTGTTTCGAAAATATTTATAAATTATTACATTGATAGGATGTTGTCGAGTTGTAGGATGATGGACAAGGAGGGGAAGACGACTTGCAATCTGTCAAAAAGTTGCCTCGAATACTTGTTTTATCCGTGTTGAACTCAGCACACCTTCCACCTTGAAACATTAAAAAATGAAAAGGTAGATCTATGTAAAGATTTATATTTGTATTTTCCTTTTCTAAGGTAAATTAAATTAAAGTACATTTTTAATGGAATATGATGTTATTGGTTGATATTAAAGGTGTATTATAAAAGTAATTAAATACAATCTAACTAATTTACAAATTACATTGTGTACGTCGAATATTTGTTATAAACTGTTTTTTTATTATTATTTGGAGACACAATACGAGTATTTATCATACCTACAACTCTGTGTATTCTTGTATTTTCGAACATTTTTAACAAATCATTTATTAGAAACCTGTGATCAGTTTCACAGCTTTAATGCTACTGTTTTTACTCTATACAAAACATAAATCTCTATTATTAGATTGCCTTTCAAAATTAGATTAGTACTTGACATTTAGTATCAACAAAGATTTCTTAAATCATTTTATTATTGTAAGAAAGCTGAATATTATTTACCATGTTTTACAAAAAAATAATACATTAAAGATTTGTATTGTTTTTCTTAAATATTAGAGGAGCAGTTGCATATTTAAAGGTCTTAGGATACTCTGTTTTGATTGCATCTCAGTGATAGAAAGGCAAATGAGATGTTAATAACCAACATGAATGATATGTTTCATAACTGAGATGGAAGTTGGTAAAACAACTGTTCGTTATCTCCATATCTATCTCATAAATAAATGGAAAGGTTATATTGATCTCGATGAACATACCGGATTATTCTAACCGGTGTAGAGCCAAAATATGAGAATATGTACTAAACGAGAGAAATTACTTTTTATGAATTTGTATGAATGAAGGGTTTTTATCTTAGATACTGAAAATACTATAACACCACAATATAATGGTGACATTGTGGCATAATTTGTTTGAATAATGTACAAGTAATCTATAATTAAAATTCAAATCGAACGAAAAATCTGTTCAATCTAAGATTACTTTCAAATACTTTTGAATTATTTTAGATATGTCATTTATCATATTCATAAACTTAATACATCCCTGTGTACACAAATGTTAATAAAATTCAATGGAAACATCACTTATGTTTTGAGTACACATTATATTACCCACCTATTATCAAAAACACATAATAATCTGACAAAGTTATAAGAAATTGAAAATTGGTACCAAATCTTAAGTCGTATTTAAAATTGTTTAAAAGGAGATGTCTCGAGAGGACAACAGTCGGGCAGATTCACTTGGAAAACTCAAAAGAAACATTGAACACATAATTCAGGATCTAGATATAAATAACAATACATGTAAACTAGTATCAATTATTCTTACCAATAATAAGTAAAGATGGGGCGCATGCTTCTATTGTTTCATTCATCCAATCGTTAATTACACAGTGATACTCAAAAGACTTGCATGAATGCTTTATATCGTGGCATCTCTTTCTTTCAACAGCTTTTCGTAGTTCTGATGTATTCTTAGGACAGGACCATACTCTTGTAACTGTGGTAAGAGAGTCTTTGCAGGGAATCCCAAAGCCAAATGCAAATCTGTCGACATCATGCAAAACCTGTAGGTAAATGAATTAACTCTGTCGACATGATGCAATACCTGTGATAAATGAAGGAAACCTACAGTCAATATACATACCTTTATTATGACATTTTTATTACAATACTTTATTTTTTAAAAATCAAATACTGATATAAAATTATGATTTTTTTGCGAATGAGTTTATAATTTCTAATCACAATCATTTTTTTCTTACACGTATAGATCTCGATATTTTAGAAAAATGATAATGTATAAAATGTAAAAAATTACATATGAGATTTAAATCAATGTAAGTTTTAGAAATAGTATCTTTTATTCTTACTTGACATCTATATTGCATGTATAAATAATTTTATACAAGCTAAAGTTCGTCATTTATAATGTCATTTAATTTTATTCTTTTCTTTTTAATTGGACCCTTACCAGTACTTGCACCACGCTCGTGACCAGATTTGATTTGATGTCAATTAATCTGCAATAATGCAACATTGATAACACCTATTCAATGTCAGTTCTTTATCATATAAATAGTAGATTTTCTAGATATATCACCGATGAGTACTGAACAATTTTTGAGTTCTGCTTTTCTCAAACTCTACTGTATCTTGCATAAACTATTTAAAATAATAGTAAACAAAGAAGCACTATTATATATTGGCCAATTACGGGATAAAATGCCAGGATTAATCATTTTACATTGACTGTAAACCTTTTTATATGTAAGATATAATGAAGAAGGAACAACATTGTGTAGTTTTTTCATAAACATATACCATAAGAGGGTCAAAAACGAATGTCAACAACACTATATGACCATTTTTATTATATAATTATGATCATGTTCGTTGTTTATTCTATTTTCAGCATAGCTTTTAGATCACCCTGATTTGTAGAAAATGATATGATCAAATATTAAGTAGATCCAATATGTTAGATAGCATTTACCTCATCTTTACAGAAGGAAAGTCTGTTTATAAAATGTACGGTGTCAAAGCCCGCCGGTTTTAAATTTTCAAATGATATGCAGCAGTGAATTTGAAAGGTCAATGGGTGATTTAAGCATTTGCTGATAATATTCCGCTTTGATAAATTTTACCACTTTTTTCATGAGTTCAAATGTTTATCAGCGGAAAAAAAAAATTAGATTTTTTTTTTACATATTTTATGTCGAAAAGAAATGAGAAAAGGGGACATATCTTACGGGACGAATAAAACAAAAATAAATATTTCATAGACCAGCAAAATCTCAGTGATCTGGGACAGCAGGCAAATAAGACAAAAACTATCTCATTGTTCACAATTTTGCAGTAACTTTTACTACGACAGACAACCAAAATAAAAACCTTTATATGTCAAGTTTTAAACACACGAGGTATCAACCTTCTACAAGTGTAATGCATAGGTTGCCTAATGGCACTTAAAATGTGTTTGATTGGTTGTTTTTTGTTTTTTTTTAACTAAAGGGTATTACTCAAAAAAAGTTTAGAGAGGATTTTTAAACCCGAATAAATACTGACAAAGGCAATTTACAGACGGGGGTATCGGGATCAAATCCAGAAAAGGTGACAAGATCACGTGAACTGACCCTAATCTACCTTGCCTATCCATGTGTATAAGACAAGTTCGACATTTATGATAGGCACTTATTAATTCACAAAAAAAAAACCTCTTTCTTTACTGACTACACTATAAAAATTAAACTTCATAATGACCTAATTTCTAAAACCTGACATGGAAATACTTTGAAATATTTCAAATCAGGACAAGATCGTTGTTCTTATGTTTACGTACATGTAACACGGAATTGTTAGGTGACCCTAATTTAAGAACATAACACTTTTTCAATCAAACATTATTTATAGTGGGTTTTTTTCCCTTAGCACACATTTCTGTTATTAATCAAAACATTGAGATATTAAACAGTTTAAAAGCTTCGTTGTAAAAATTGTTCGTACTTTCGGTTCTTACCTTCATAAGTTTGAACAGCCCACTGAAAAACAGATATTTTAATCGAACTTTCAAAGTGAAAGTACAAAATTATTCTAATCAAATATCAAATAGACTGTGAAATGCAAATGGAGAAACATTCAATTATTTAATATCCTTCTTTATTTAGAAATTACCCATCGAGATCTATACGTACCTTTATTTAAAGAGAACGAAGAATGAGATTATAATCCATAAACCATAATGACGTTTTTATATGGTGACCTATTTAAATGCACTTTAAAATATATGTTTTGCACTATAATTATGTATTTTAAAATGAACGGTCTAAGCTGTTATAAATACTTATATTTACATGTATAATATTTATAATTGCATGCCTCAAACGAAATGCAAAACAAATTGATTTCGTATCGATGAAAAGAGCTTGTAATCAAAAGTAAAAAAAAAATGTTTAAAAATCTATCAAACGCGGTGTCAGAGAAACATCTTTGACGACGTCATTTCTCCACAGAAAGGGGGGGGGGAGGGGCATAACTCATATCATATAAGTAATTTTAGATATTCAAGTACATTTTTACATTGAAAAAAAAACGTTTAAAATCTTTGTAAAAAATTATTTCTGCATATTATATTTCTTTTAAAAAAAATCAACCCCCCTCCAAAAAAATCACTTAGATGCATGACTACTTCGAACTGTACTGCACCAATTAAAAAATGATCAAACCAAAATAAATGTTTTTTTTTAGGTGAATACATATTTATACATAAATTTTCATGCCTTTGTTTGAATAATACTTTTTGTTTATTGTATTCTTAATAAAAAAAAAGGTTACAAAAAAAGTATCAATTATTAAACGAGGGATAATATCATTGGCAGCGTAGGTTAAATACTTACACAAGCTATAGAAAAAGAAAATTGGCAATTAAAAACTCAAATTTTAAGGGAGATATAGGAAGGGGAAATTTTCAAATTATTTTCTGAAGAAAATGGATGCTTTACAATATATAATAATTGGTTTCGAACAAACTGAACAAAAAGGGGAATGGGGCAACAAGGTCTTTGAAGTAATATTTTTCGAATCAAATCGTACGACCAAGCTTTATGATAAAAGTCAAGACTTTTAACTTCTCTATTGTCAACTCTGCTTACTTATGCAGCAATTTACCTTCATCACCTGCATACGGAGTTATTGTATCTCAGTTGATTCGATACGTAAGAGCATGCTCTACGTATGAGCAATTTCTAAAGCGAGGTAAGTTATTGAGAAACAAGTTGATGAAACAAAAATATCGATCAGCAGTCTAGTTTAAAGTCATCATTTCGTAAGTTTTATGGTCGATACGTTTACCTTGTTAGCAAATACAATATATTATTCATTTAAATGCTGATTTCATACTAATTGTTAATCCATTATTTATTTTGAAACTATATCAAAAACGATTTGGTCAAGCAAGAACCGTGCATGTGTGTTCCACGTATTGCCGTCATTCATTCTAAAGACAACAACTTATATAATATCAAATACGCTTTAAATGTGAAGACTGCAATGAGTTATAAAATGCTACATAAATTGAAAAGCTTGAGAAAAGTGATATAAAATAGACATCAACATAATATGAGTAACTTAGAAAACAGATTACATAACTTAAAAATATTCAGTGTATGAACGCAGAAGTACAACGGATATGTTTCCTTTGTTCATTACTTCATTTAAAACCCTTCAGTATGAGTAGAAAGCCGCCAAGCTCTATAAATTTTGAGACACTACCAAATATGTTTATAAACATTGGCTGTTATTATTATTATTTTTTTTTGAAAGCGAACTAGTACCGCTTAGATATTTCTTTAAATTCCCCACACTTGAATTTGAAAATTTTATACAATCATGTGAAAATTTTATACTAATCATCTGTAAATTATACACTTATGTCTGTAATTTTGACACTTTAATCTGTTTAACTTATAACTTATCTGCTTAATTCACATAATCGAACCCCGTGGGGATCCGGGTTAGAATAGGTTCTCAGTACCCCCTTGCTTGTAGTAAAAGGCGACTAAATGAGGCGGTCCTTCGGAAGAGACCGTATAAACCGAGGCCCCATGTCACAGCAGGTGTGGCACGATAAAGATCCCTCCCTGCTCAAAGGCCGTAAGTGCCGAGCATAGGCCTAAATTTGCAGCCCTTCACCAGCAATGGTGACGTCTCCATATCAGTGAAATATTCTGGAGAGGGACGTTAAACAGTATACAATCAATTAATCACATTATAAATTTGGCGACTTCGAATTTCTACTTCAGCACGCTTTAAAGCTTATAGACCACTGATCTTGCATTATAAAATCTAATTTTGATTTTTTTTTTTTTTTGACAATAAAGTTTGAAAAGTATTGATGCTTAGTCAGATATTGTATGAATGGATATAATACAAATAGTAAGCGCTCCAGAATAATTGATATAAGTTAGACTTTCATAGAATATTTCAAAGAATTATTCATTATGTTAATATACAGAGCAAAGCAAACATATATACATGTATCCTCTCAATGAACATGATATTGATATCATTATACTTATGCAAATTCACCGATTTGATGCACTCAGCAGCTTAATTATTGATAGCATTAATTGAATAACATTCTACATGCATTACCGGCAGCAATTTAATTACTTTTTGAAATGAATTGAAAATTCTTAGATAAAAAAGTAATATATTAATTATTCATGTATATCTCTGTATGAATATATAATTTAATAAGTACATGTATACAAGTTTATAGAAAATTTGGAACAACATAGAAATTAATATTCTTGATTCAATTCCATTTGTTGTTACGTTCTAAAATGACAGTAATTTTATTATTAATCTGAACAGCAAATAAATAAACAAATATATCTGAGATATATATATATACATACATGTATTTATTTTACTGTGTGTCGCTCTTTACTATAGCACTAAACAAATATGTAGCAGTGGATTAAAGCAAATTCCGAATATTTTGCCGATGACAATTACGTGGTCCAAAAACAAATCATATATACATGTATAAACGTTTATGCAAACACTTATGTACATCTCATTTTATACAATTTTTCAAATGTCACCTTGGTACAACAAAATGAAACGACCTTTCGATTAGTACAGAAAAAAGTACGTGTTTTATTTTCTTATTTAAGTGTAAATTTTGAGACTAGCTGTAAATTTTACAGATTAAAGTGAAAATGATAAATATTAATATGTTTGATTTACAAAATAATTTGTAAAATTGACATGTTAAAGTTAAAAATTGACAAGAAAGTGTAAAGTTTACAGATGAAAGTGTAAAATTTACAGATAAGAGATTTGGTGTAAACCGATATCGTACACATTAAAGTGTAAAATTTACAGATTAAAGTGTATATTTAACAAATTGAAGTTTGCATTCTATACATTATTGTGTAAAAAAAAAAAAAAAAAAAAAAAAAAAAGCTGTCAAAATGACACCAACACGTTCCCTTACTTTTTATACAAATACATGTATTTTGACAAAACTAACGAAAGAAGTGGAATTCATGACGCCAAACTCAACACGCAATTCACATTCTTTGTAAAATCCTGTGAGATACAATATGTTAATCAAGTTTTATCCGTGAAGAATGAACTTTATATCCAGGGTCTAAGCTAAGATAAATATGCATTCAACTGTTCAACTTAGGACAAATGTTAAAATACAGAAATCAAGGTCTTGGTTTGTATAGGTAAAAATAGAAACATTTGCAAATTGAACTGTTTAAACCTACAGCAGTTACAAATATTCTTTAAATAACTTCTTGATTTTAAATATCGCAACATTGCATGAATGTGGTATATAAGAATAATATTGCAGGACATAGTTAAATGCTTCATAATGATTCTCGTTTTGTTTCAAGAAAAAAATCAATAGTTAACAAACAATATAAAATATTACCTTTCCAAGGTACATGAAGGGAACCATTATCTATCTTATAAATTATTGTATA